CACCGACTTCGACTCATATTCCAAGACATGACTAATGTTCAAAATATAGGATACAGATACAAAATATATATATATAGTTATAGTTATAGTTATAATAAACAAAACTCAAACTAGTTGAATAAATAAATGAGTAGGGGTTAACAGTTAAATAAATATTATAAGAATAATAAATAAAAAATAATGTAGTTTATAACGAAGGAATAAATTATACTTTAAATTAAAAAAAACTAAGCAACTTCACAATTTACGTGAATGTTTAAATTAGATTAAATTATTTTGTATAAAAAACTGTTTAATTAAAAATGGATTTAGAAGGATTCTTTCAAATTTAATTGTCACTAAAAAAATGTAATTGGTTTTTTTTTTCGTGTCTTCAGTAAGTTCTTTTTTTTTGGCATACTATTTTTCACAAATATTTTTCTTCCTTTGTAATTTTATATAAAATAAAATCAACTACTAAATATAAATAATGGTTATGCATAATTATCTGATAAATCACTGCATTTACTATAGAAAATCGACATTAAATAAAATAAAAAACATGCATAAAGTAAAATATATGGAATATACACAACATATAAAATCTAGTACATATACTATATACATCATAACTAGACAACTATGAAATGTGCTCTACACTGTCAGTTGAGGGTTTCAAAATATGACTCCACCAAAAGAGTTATATCAAATAGCTATCATCTCGCATGCTAACCACTTAATCTTTTCCTTCTTATATATCAAGTATGATCATCATAGTCCCACCACAAGAAAACGAAGGGTAAACTTACAGTAAAAATATCATACAAAAGTATGACAAAGGCAACAAAACACATGTATCAATAATAGTACAACTCACACTTAATAACTTATTCAACATTTATCAACTTTATTATAATTAACATCTTAATGTATAATATTAGCAACTAATGTATCGTCACATATGTCAACTAAGGAGATCTTTTAAAACATAGATGAACAATTTAAGTGACTTATCTCTACCGAACCAAGCGTTAGATCCATCTCAACTAAGTCAGATATAGTACAACATTAGGCCTCACAGAGAGCCAAATATAGAAAACTTAGTTGATTTCTCAAGTTTTGTCACTTAAACAAGGAAATATAGTACTATATCAAGGTAGAACAATTTGAGTATGAGTTTATCACGATATTAGCTAGTTTAACTAAGACACCTATGAGATTAGCCCATAGGCTACCCTCTAAATACCACAATCCTCTGATACTAGGTCAAAGATTTTAACCGTTGACTTCGTACTTTACCCAATTAATCATTCAACTAAGATATGGTTTAACTACTATTATACCAAAAGCACATAGACCCTAGAGGGAAACAACTTAATTCACCTCTAGCATCTATGTATCTCAATTTAGACATGTATCTTAACCACATGTTCACAACTTTACCATTTTACGTAACATACATCTTTACAACTTTCTACTATAAATAACTAAATAACTTAACAATTGAACCAACATCAACCTCAACTTAACAACTTCAATTGCAGCATAGGAACAATGCAAACTTCCCTTACTTCTTTGGAGGATCAAAATTTGTTAAGGAGAAAAGGAAGAAGATGCTTCGCACGAATCCAAGCTTGAGTCATAAAAACTTCACCTACACCCTAGACCCTCCTTAGACACTAATCAACTATACCAAGAAGAAAGAAGATCTTAGAAATAAAGAGCAAAAAGTCAGCTTCTCTTACTCTAACTTCACTATTTCAAGAATAAACTCATGGAACCCTCCAAGCCTCGTGTTACATTATGCATTGTCAATGTAAAAAAAAAATTCACTATTGACCAATCAATAAACATGTCATACATGATGTTTTATAATTTGATAACAATCTAAAATTGTTTTATACAAACAGTACATAGCCTTTTTGTTTTTTCTTTCACAAAAATGCATTTACGAGTTTATTGCATTGGATCGATGCAAACAATGCACGAATAAGAAGGTCATTCCAAGAAGAGATTATTGTTGTGGGATGTAATATTTTTATGACATAGTGAATATATTATACAAGACACTAAGGTGGGTTATGTTGGGGAAATAGTTAAGAGGGAATATATAGGGCGGCAAAGCAATATGAGACAAGTTAATTTAGTATATAAAGAAAGAATGAGTATAAATTAGTTGGCTCATAATAGAAACCATGGTGTTGAGAAGAAGCATTATTATTGCAATAGCAATAAGAGTGGTTGTGAATGTGATTTTTCATACTCAAATATGCATCTCAGTGTCACTCATCAATAGGCATAGCTTTCCAAAGGGTTTTGTTTTTGGCACTGCTGCTTCAGCTTTTCAGGTTACTTTACTTTAGTATCTTTCTCTTTAATATTCACATTAACTCTACTTCTAAGTATTTTAATTATAAGATAAATATTTATTTTCTATAATTAAATTTTATTATAAATATTTTGTATATTATATTTTAAATTTACGATAAATAAGTTATTTTGTGACATAATGATTTATTTTAAAATATTAAAATTTAATTTATGGAAGAAAATGATCGATTGAAAGGGACAAACAATTGAAAAAAAATAAGTGTATTTATAAAGATAAGAAAGAGAATAATTTAAAATAGCTGAGACAAATTTCTTTTGAACTAATTATTAAATCGGATTAAAATAAAAAATAAATAAGTCTATTTGAAAAAAACTAAAAAGTTATAAAAAAAAAAAATGAATGATCATTTTATGAGATTAGAATAAGACACATGACTTGACAGAGTTGTAATAACTACTCCAAACAAAATTCTTTTTAAGAAAAACTGTTAAAACACTTGAATACAAATTCTTTCATTCAAAATTAAGAATCAAATTTTTAATATAAACATAAAGTTAAATTACTCTTTTATTCCTAATTTTATCTAATTAATTTAATTTAGTCTATTTATTATTATTATTATTATTATTAATTACTAAGATACTTTTCTTTCCATTTTATTTTAACCTACTCCACTTCGGTTCTAGCTAGACAGAATTAATAAGGGAGGTAAAACTCTCATTACCAAATTTTAAATAACTATATTTTTAATACCAATATTTTTTACTTCTAATTAAATTTGAATCACTTGTTTACATTTAGTTTGACTTTTAGAGAAAAATTATTTTTAAATAAAATTCAATTAAAAACTACATTAATTAAGTAAGTTTTTAAACACACAAAAATGTGTGTATATAAGTAAGAATTTAATTAAAAATATATTGACGGTGTAAATTTTTATAATTATATATAACAAATTTATATACTTTTATAATTATTTCTTTGAATTATATTTGAATTTTTTTTCTGAATTAATATTACAAAAGATATATTAAAAGTTTATTAATTTTGAGTCATCTTTTATCAGCTTAATGATAATGAAATATGTATAAGGTCTAAAGTTGTTTTTGTCCACAAAACATGATGTCAATAATTATGTCCAAACATACGTATAGTCGTAGTATAAATACGAATATTCATGATTCAATAAAGAAAATTTCAAGGTTCATGATATATACACTCCCCTTTTTTTTATAAGTACACCTCATTTTTTAGAAAAAATAATTAAATTTCTAAAATATTCTTAACTTTTAATTTTTAATTTTTTAATTTTACATCCACAACATTTAATTTAGTATTTTTGTTCACACATCTTCTTTTTTTTTTTTTTTCAATTTTTACATGCACCTCCTTACCTTTCTTTCACCCCACCTATTTTGGTAACATGTAAAAATTGAAAGAAAAAAAAATTATGAAGAAGAAGAAAAAAGTAAAAAATTGAAGATTAGAGGTGTAAAATTAGAAAAATTAAAAAAATTAAACTATAATGTTTTATAATTTTTTTAAAAAAAATAAAGAAGGTGTACTTATATAAAAAGGAGGTGTATATCTCAGCCAAATTTCAACCCATGTTTCTTTTTTAATTCAGTCCAATTGTGACAAAAAAAGGGTCCATTAACGATTGAGCTTTAACGGGCCAAGCCCGAGCTAGTAAGCTTAAGTCAATGGCTCATGATATATACACCTCTTTTTTTTTATAAGTATACTTCTTTTTTAAAAAAAAATTTATAAAATATTATAATTTTTTTAAAAGAATTTAATTTTACACTTTCAACTTTTAATTTGCTACTTTCTTCTTTTTATTTACACACTTTTTTTTTTCTCTTTCAATTTTCACATGTTACTAAAATAGGTGAAGTAAAGGAAAAATAAGGGGATGCATGTAAAAATTGAAAAAAGGAGGAAAGATGTGTGAAAAAAAAAGTAATAAATTAAATGTTGTGGATATAAAATTAAAAAATTTAAAACAAAAAATTAAGAATATTTTAAAATTTTAATGATTTTTTTAAAAGGAGATGTACTTATAAAAAAAAGGAGGTGTATATATCATGAACCTAAGTCAATTACTTAACCGGAAGAAATGGGGACAAAAGGGCCCAAAAGAAAAAAGGAAGAATTAGGGGACAAACAACCCTATCCCAAATTTTGTTTTGCATTAATGATGTCAGGTCAAACACTTATAGTATTATTTTTGTATAGTGCGAGTTTCAAGTTTTGAAATTAAAATCAAAATGTTATAATTATTTGCATAAAGTATTATTATTATTATTTTACATATTTTTACATTTAGGTTGAATTAATAATATTGTTTGATTTTGTAATAGTATGAAGGGGCAGTCAAAGAAGATGGAAGAGGGCCATCTGTGTGGGATACTTTTTCTCACACACCAGGTAAGTTATTATAACAAGACTCTGAGTAAAAAATATCAAATTTTCTAATGTATATTTAAATCGATATTTTAAAAATTAGATTAATTATTAAATCGATCAAAATCCTAGATTAGTGAGTTAAGGATTAAATTGGTGGGTCACTGAACATATATTAATCTCTTTTAAATTTATTTTTTAAAAAATCATGTTATATATATACCTTATTTATAAATTTTAATTAAATTCATATTATGTATTAAAGAAGTTTTAAAAAAATTAGAATCAATAAAATACAGACACGCAACAAAATCATAAAAGGATTAAATCACATAGATTAATATATAATTTTAAAATAAAAACATACCATGTGAATTGTTTAAGTTAATTACATAACAATAGGGTATGTTGATTACACCCTTAAGTGTAACTTTTACTATAGGTATTACACCGCTCAATAACTTTATATTAAATGTGAATTTTATAATTCAACTGTTAGATTGAAAGTTCTTTACTCTTAGATCATATATACAAAATTTTATATTAATTCTAGATGATTTGATACTTCATTCTTATAAAACAAAATTAATGTAATATATACATTTCAAAATATAATAAAATATAAAGTGATGTGAAGTTATGATTCAATGGTTGGATTTACAAAATTCACATTTAATATAAAGTTATTGAGCAATATAATACTTAGTAAAAGTTATACTAATATTGTTTGAACTCTCTTCATATATTATATATATATATATA